TCATGGCTTACGTTTTGGCAAAGCAGGTCGCTCGGCTTCTGTATATGAATTCGGCCGTTGGAATCTTGGCACTAGGTATTGATGGTATCCAGAGACTATGGAAATGGGTTAAAATTGAGGAGAACCCTCGTGGAAAGGTAAGCATTAATGAGAAAGTTAAAGAGAGCTCAATGCATGATGTGTACGGTTTTATTTAAGGACTCTTTATCATGCAGGCAACCACTAATGTTGCTCCTCAACTTTGGCAACCAGACAGTGGTCTTCTCATGACAAACGATGTCTCTCGTGTAAACCTTAAAGGGTCTACTCCATGTATTGCTCTCGCTAAGAACGACTCATACGTTATGTCGGCTGTTGGAGGAACAGCCTCGCTGTTCAACATGGTGACTTTTGAGGTATATATATCTAAAGTCAAAAGCTGTAGCTGAAAATGTTCTCACGCTAATCCTATAAAACTCTTTGGTGAGTCTAATTTTTAAAGAAATCTATTGTCCTTATAGGTGATGACAAAATTCTTACAGCGTCCACCAGCATCAACATTTTTAGCGTTTTATCCTCAAGACCAAAACATCATCGCCATTGGAATGGAGGACTCCATGATTCACATCTACAATCTCCAAACGGATGTGGTAAGTTGTCTAGTACCAATCATAGCCGCTTAAGTAGTCTTTATGATCTATGACGAATACAAACGTGTGAACCTTTTCTCGATGAAGTGGTTCTCAAAGCTTCACATATATTTTATGTTTCAACTATTTCCCTGCTAGATGATTGCCTTAAGACTATATGACTGAGCTCTGTCCACCTGTATCTTGTGTTCCATCAGATCATAGCAAAGCTAAACGGTCACAAAGAACGCATCACCGGCTTAGCATTTTCTACAACCCTAAACATATTGGTTTCATCTGGTGCTGATGCACAGGTATGGCATGCTGCCTCGTGTTGTTTACTGTTTTGTGGCTTTTTCTTCCGTTCTGTTATCCAATTTAGGAGGATGCTCACTATTTTTCTCTTAGTTATCCGTTTGGAGCTTATACACATGGGAGAAGAGGAAATCAGTTGCAATACAAATGCCAGCAGGCAAACCCGCCAGTGGAGACACACGGGTTCAGTTTCATGTCGATCAGATCCATGTTCTGGCAGTCCATGAGACGCAACTGGCGATATTTGATGCTTCCAAGATGAATTGTGTCCGACGGGTATGCATGAGATCATCTCTCTAAATCAACATATATATGCACAAAAAACTGAAATGCAAGATCATATATACCTGCATTCGTAATAGTTATTCTGAAATTTGTATTAACTTTTGTTTACTTGTTTCCTTGTACTCAGTGGATTCCACAAGACTCGTTGTCTGCTCCTATATCTTCAGCAGTGTTTGCATGCAACAGCAAGTTGATCTACACCGCTTTCCGTGATGGTAACATTGGAGTGTTCGACGCAGACAGTCTCAGATTAAGATGTCGTATCTCTCCATCCGCCTACTTTCCTCAAGGGTAAGTGTATCCAACATTTCATCAGATTCTTAATTCTAAACCAATGTACTTTGTAAGATTCCGTCTTGAATCCGCATAATATATTTAAAAGGACTTGTGACAAAATGGTATTTTTTTCATTAGCCAAAGAATTCTAAAGCTTCTCTTTGTATTGATTTTGTTTTTGCTATCCAGGAGCCAAGGCTTGTCTCCTCTAGTTGTGGCGGCTAACCCGAAAGATCCAAACCAGTTTGCAATTGCTTTGAACGATGGGTCAATTAAGGTGATTGAACCGACAGAGGCTGAAGCCATGTAGGGGATGGATCTAACCGATTGAGCGATCAACACTTGATCATCCACCACAAGCAACCAAACTCCAGAACAGTCACAAAGATGAACAAACCAAAATCCATGTAAATAATCTCATTCCTTCAGGCCCTCGTTAGTTAGTTAGTTAGGGTTGTTGTTGATAAAAGTTTAGGCAGTGATATTAGATCTTCAAATGTAACCTTAGTTTCAAGATTCTTACAGAACAATGAAATTGGTAAGAAATCAAATTTGTACAATCTCAATTATCTGCAAATCTTTCTGAGTGAATCAGCAAAATACTAACAAGAAACTGAAACTATATGAACTGGTCATGGTTCGGGGAGGAGAATCCCATTAGCATCATAATGCAAAACACCTGACTTGTTCATCGGCTTGCATCTTTCACCCATTAGTGTCCTTTTCTTGCACAGCTCCTCTTCTTCTCCCATACCTTCACTTAAG